CATCTTCATCACCATCATTATTGTTACCACCATCTTCATCATCATCACATCACCATCATCATTGTGACCACCATCACCACCACCCCGTCTTCATCATAACCAACTTCATCATCATCATCACCACCATCTTCATCATCATCACCCCTATCATCACCACTATCATCATCATCATCATCATCATCACCATCATCATTGTCACCACCATCTTCATCATCGTCATCATCATCACATCACCATTTTCATCACCATCATCTTCATCATCACCATCATCATCGTTATCACATCACCATCATCATCTCAATCATCAGTACCACATGACGCAGACAGGATGTGTTCAGGTCACTTCCGAGATAATATTGATCGCTTGATTGATCAGGTTATAGATTGTATAATGCTGTTTACATCTGATTATTAGACACTGAGTAATTCAGAAGCTATTAAATACATTTTAAAGTAGCAGTCCGTCACTTCAGGAAACACAAACGAGACGTGTCCAGGACTCATCCTGGGTCACCTGACACCAGATCAGGTCTGTGAGCCAGAGTGCGAGGAAGAGAGTGTGGTCTAAGATGAAGGTTGTACATTGAACGCCATGTTAACTTTTCTTTAAATCAAATGTCTCTTTGTTCTAAAAGTTAACTACTGCAGGGGTCACATGATTGTTTCCTCCAGAGGTTCCAAGTCCAGGTTCCAGTCTGATGATAAACAGGTCAATCAGTATTTACAGACAAGGAGTTCTGATCCAGGTTTTCAGAGAGTCAAGCAGTGTCTGATCATCAGTCAGCCAATCAGGAGGTCCATTGTTATGACTGTCTGCTCTGGTTCTGGTCAAAAAGTGCTCAGAATCTGAGAAAATTTTCCAGGAACATTTCAAGGGACAGGAATACAGCAACCATTTTAAGACATCAAGGCCCTCAGCAACTTCTCCATGAGCTTTTTAACGTTCTAACCCCTAACCCCCAAACTTGGATTTTTTTTTCAGAAATGTTTCCATAATCTTAAAGCACCAAAAACCCAGTAACCTTATTTAGAGAACTCCTGAAAACATTTCCTCATAATTTTGGCGCTTTTTCCAGGAAGCATTTTAGGAACTTGAAACCAGGAACTCTTGTAGGCACTCAGAAACATTTCCAGGTGAAGCATCTCATGTGATGTAGGAACATATTAGCCAGTTTTCCAGGGACCAAGAGCCCTTTTAGGATCCAATAAACACTTAAAAGGGGGTGACAAAGTTTTCAATGGAACCCTAAGAAACAACAACATGACTCAGGCTCTACCAGAAGAACCTAGTTCAGGTTTTGGTTCCTAAGCTGAAACAAGTTCAATTTGAATATCGACCAGCATCTCTTTATCTTCTTCTGGAGAAATAAAAAAATGAAAGATTCACGTCTGAACTGAGTCCAGAATTGATGCTGATCCAGGTTGTTGTTATCAGACTCCTCCCTAAAGGTGGTGGTGGGGGGTTTAAACCATGATGATGGGCCTCATGACTTGTTGTCGTCATAGAGGTCCAGCGAGGCCTGAATGTCCGGCAGCTCCATCTCACTGACGATGCTGCGAGGAGACATCGAATTCCTGTTGAAGAAGTGACCGCCACCTGAGGAGATGGAAATAAAGACAAAAACAATGGATTATTTCATTAAACACAGTCATATCAATCACGATGCACACAGCTGAAGCAAGCGTTCCAATTATTGATCATTTGAAGCACATAATATCATCACAAATGTATTATTTAGAATAATATATTGGATAAAAGCTTTAGGGGGATCATGAAATGCATCATGGGTAAGGTTAGAAAAAAAATAAGTTGCAAAATTTAAATCAATCATTAAAGGAAGATGAACGATCATCAATTAATCAATCAACTCAATATTTGATGATTAGCAACCGCTGCTGTTTGTGTCCAATGAACAAAAAAAAAGGGAAATCAGTGCAACTACAACTATTCAAATGTTCAGTATTGAGCAGCAGTCTTACTGGTCACGGCAATGGTGATGTCAGCAGGTGTTCTGGGTGTGGCCTCAGGGTGGGGGGGGCTGAGTGGCTCCAGGCTGATGGACGGCTGGTTGCTGTCACCCAGCAGCGTCCTCTGGCTGCTGGATGCCTGACTTACACCCAGACGCTCCACGTCCAACACCACGCTGTCCACACAGGGAAGACTGGTCTGAGAACAGAGGACAGGGGTCAGGGGTTGGTTGAGGAGGTTCACAGCACAGGTGAAATATGATGTCAGCGTGAGTCCAATTATGGATTCTCAGCCACATTCAGTCCATACAGGAAGTTGTTAATGTCATCTGTGACTCACCATGATGCCAAGCGCTTTGAGGATGTTGAGTTTACACATGGGACAGGTGCATTGTTCGTTCAGCCACGGGTCCACACACATTTTATGGAAGACGTGTCTACAGAGACACAGAGACATGTCTGACATTATGTGACCAATCATCAGAGAGCAAAAGACTAT